TGTGTGTGTGTGTGTGTGTGTGTGTGTGTGTGTGTGTGTGTGTGTGACTTCAGACTTGATCCTCTCACTTAGTAATGTATGGAAAGGTTATTTCAGGTCTTTTCATGCCTTGGCAGCTCCACTTCTTTTTAGCACTGTGTAATACTCCACTGTTTATCCATTCTATCATTACAAGATATCCAGGTGGCTGGGATAGTTAATTCCGATTACCAAGCCGATTGGATTAAGGGACGCCTCAGCATTAGGCACACCTTTGAGTATCTATACAAACATCCAGACAGGTTTAACTGAAGGGCAAAGGGAATGCCCTGAGTGTGGGCAGCGCTATCCCAGTGGGTCTGGATCTTAGACTGAACAGAAAAGGGAACAGAAGAAAGCCAGCTGAAGGGTTTATTCTCGCCCTGGTCTCCCAGCCTGTGAGGAGGGGCAGTCATGTGTTCTCCACTGGCCCTGGCACGATGGGCTATGCCTTCAAACAACACTATAGAATCAACCCTTTCTACTGCAAGCTGATTTTCTGTTAAGTGTTTGCTCATGGCAATGAGAAAAATAACGCATAGAACTTGAAATTTGAGCAATTTTGAAAACAATGCTGTAATAAGACTCTACATTGCGTGTTTTGTGTGAACATAAATGTTTGAGTCTTTTGGGTACACATTATGGTATAGGATCACTGTGTCAAACACCTAAAGTATATTCAGTCTTGTAAAACTGTCTTCAAAGTGAGTGTACTATTTTGAATACCTATGAACAGTTACCTGCCATAGGTATTCTTATGTTCATTAACCTTTGCTGTTGTTTACATTTGGTGTTTTTAAAAACACGTATTTAATTAATTAATTAATTAATTTAGTGTGCTGTGCATGTGTTCTTGTGCATGTATTTGCTCACCATGGTGCACGTATGTAGGTCAGAGTCAATTTGTAGGATGGCTCTGTCCATCAGAATTCAAGTGAGTGAAGAGACAATGCATGGACTTGAAGAAAACACCAGCAAATATGTGTCTTATAAAGAACTATTATCCAAAACATATCTTAATTATTTTTTAATTATAATATAATGACATCATTTCCCTTTCTTCCCCCCCAAACCCTTCATATACCCTTCCTTACTCTCTTTCAAATTCATGACTCTACTTTTTATTATTTGCTGTTACATACATACATATACATATACATATATATATATATATATATATATATATATTCCTAAATGCATAAATACAATGCTCAGTCTGTACAATGTTACTTGTGTGTACGTTTTTTTGGGTTGACCCTTTAGGTTTGGATAAACAATTGGTGTGCTCTTCCCTCGGGGGCAGAAAAATTTTAAAACTCAAAACTTTCCAATAGAAATGACCAATTTAAAGCAAATAGAAGTAGATTTGAATAGTAGACACCTCATCAAAGAACACACATAGATGAGAATTTTTAAATGTTAGTGAAGTCTAGCTTATCAATTATTCTGTTCACAAATTATGCCAGTGATGTTCTCTCTAAAAAGTCACCTATCACCAATGGTCTCTGTATTTTTTCCTGAATAGTTTCCCAGCAGTTCTATAATTTGCATTTGTACTCAGGTCAGTGCATCCTCTAGAGTGGGCAGAGGATCCTGTCCAGGCTCTTCTGTGCATGTAGCATGTGGTTCTCTGTTGAATACTACTTCTACCCTACTGTGGTGTCTGCTACTCCAAGACTATGTTTCTCTGAGGCTCTGTTTCCAGCCTTTCTGTCTTGTCCTGCTGATCTGTTGGTCTGTTTTTTTTATGGACTGCACACTGCCTTGGTGACTGTAATGTCATTCTTAGCCGTTTTCTCCTTCAGTACCATGCTGGCTATCTGCTAATGTCCTCAAGATCACATATTGGCATTTCCTTGGGATTGTCCTGCATCTGTGTATCAAATTGAGAACAGATGGGTCTTCCCATCCAGGATTTGAACATATTTCCTTTTTTAAAATTTTTTCACTGATTTGTACTGTTCCTCATTTAGATCTTATAAATGTCTCATTAGATTTATATTCAGTTCTTTCATTTTGTGAGTGCCAATACAAATGATCTGTGCCTTTAATTAAAAAAATAGTTAATTCTTTGCTGAAATACATTCATTCTCTTTAATGTTTAGGTCTCTTGGAACATTCTTTTTTTGTGTGTGTGGAAAACAGCTTGGCAGTTTGTCTCTTTCAATAAATTATACTTTTTCACATAGATATGCAAAATCCTTAGTATAGAATTGTCTGTAGTGTTTTTGTTGTAATTTTAATAACCACAACATAGAGATTGCTTTGTTTTCATTCCTGATATCTGTAACCTGTGACTTCTCTACATTTTTTTTTTCTTACCTTGACTAGAATCTCTCCATTCCTATTGGATCATCTTTTGATTGTGTTGATTGTTTATCTGTCAGTGGCCTCACTTAATTTAATTGACTTTTGTTTTCATTTTTACTGTTTCCTTTCTTCGAGTTTTTACAAACATTAACCTCCTCTGCCTTTTCTGGTTTCCTGAGTCAGAAGCTCAGGCTCCCGACTTTAGATCTTTCTCTTTCAGCTGATGAGTTCAGTTCCAGAAGCTTGCCAGCTTTGTCCCCAGTTCGTATTTTCATGTTTGTTTATTTCACAATATCTTCCACTTACCCTTGAGAGTTCTTCTTGGCCCCCTGTGGTACTTAGAACTGTGTTGTTTAACTTCCAAGTATTTGGGGGGTTTCCACTTCCCCTCCTGATGCCGATTTCCAGCTGAACTTCACTGTGCTCAATAATTTCAGCTTTAAAATACCTTATGGTGTGCTTTGTGGTCCAGAATGTTCCTACCTCTCTTAACATTTCACATGGCCTGGAAAACAAGGTGGCTATCCTGCTGGTGTTGACTGAAACACAATTGATTAGTACTGGCATGACATAACCTTACCTACGCCCTTGCTTTTATTCTGCATGTTTCTTTATGTTTGAAGTTAGTTTCCCTTAGACAGCACAGATGATATCTTTCTATTGAACTTTGATGGCAGGTCTTTTAATTGGCTTATGAATACCATCAACAATTAGTCCTCAACTGATTTGTTAGAACTATAAACCACCCCATTAATTACTCTTCTTTGCTTGTTCTACATTTGTTTCTAGTCTTCTGAGTTTGGGGGCATTGTTTATTTACTTATTTTTAGGTTGTTTGGCTACAAGTCGAAACTAGGGCTTCATGCATGTTGAACACTTATTCTACCATTGAGCTGCACCCCTCAGGCCCTTCTGCCACATCAATTACACACTTCCTCCTAGTCTACTTCCTCTCTCTTTTATTATATTGGTTATAGTCTCTCATCCCCACAGACCTCTAGTGGTGGCTCTTGTGCATGCAATATGCATTTACAATGACATCAAATTCATTTTCAGATAGCACTGTCCTGCTTCGTGGATGACTTGGGTAGCTTACAGCAAAGCCTTCCTAATACCTCTCTGCCTGAGACTTTCATTAAATTAACCTTATCAAATGCAATGCTGTTCTTCTAACTAGTTACTATTTATTGGGTTAATTAATTTTTAAAAATCCTCCACTTATTTATGCTTATGCTCTTCATTTCTTCATGTAAGTCTGAGTTTCTGACCCCTGCCATTTTCCTTCTCTCTGAAGGATTCCTTACAATGTCTTTTAGTACAATATCTTCTAGCTCACTCACTTTGCTTATTCAGTATTGTGCTCAAAGTCTTAGTTAGAACAACAGAGAAATGAAGGGATATGAATAGGAAGGGAAGATGTCAAATTATCCCTATTTGCAGACAGCATGCTATTATTCAGGGTCTTCAAGGACCCTAATAGCTCCATCAGAAAAGTCTTGGAATGAATGATCCCTTTCAGCAAAGTATCAGGGTACAAATAAACATGTAAAATCAGTAGCCTTCCTCTACACCAATCAAAAACTCCCTGAGAAAGAGAAACAACAACAAAACAAGAAAAAGTTTCACTCAGCCTCATGTGAATAAAAGTAAAATGTCGAGGAACAAATATAACCAAGGAAGTAAAAGACTTGAATAAAGAAAAAAGCCTTAAAACACCCTTAAAAGAAAACCGAAAATGATACTAGGTGATGGAAAGACCTTCCACGCTCATGCAGAGCTACTGTGAAAATGCAAATTCCAATGAGACGCTTTTCACACACACAAAAAATAACCTCAAAATGTATGTGGAAGCACAAAAGGCCCCAGACAGCCAAAGCAATCTTTAGTAGAAGGAACAATGCTGGAGACACCATGATATCTGATCTCCAATTAATATCTTAGAACTATAGTAACAAAGACAACACACGGCTGGCATTAAAAACAGACATACAAACCAATGGAATCTAATAGAAGATCCAGAAATAAACTAATACAGCTACAGCACCTAACTTTTGACAAATGTTTAAAGAACATGCATTGGAGAAAAGATAACCTCTTCAACAAATGCTTCTGGGCAAACTGGATTTTCACATGTAGAGAGATGAAAGGTCCTTCTCACCCCAAACAAAAAACCATTCAACCTGGATCACAGATTGCAATGTGAGACCTGAGACTCTGAAACAGCTAGAAGAAAAACATGAGTAAAGAGCTTCAAGAGAGAAGCATAGGCAAGAACTTTCTGAGCAAGACTCTGATAGCACAAAAAATAATACCAAGAATTGACAGATGAGATGGTATGAAATCCCAAGCTTCGGCATAGCACAGGAAATAATCAGCCAGGGAGACAAACAGCCTGCAGAATGGGGAAAAACATCTTTACAGACTCCACTTCAGACACGGAATTTAATATGTAAAGTATATGCAGACCTTCGAAAACTGAACACCGAAAGACTCAAGTCATCCAATCAATAAATGGGCTAATGAACTGAACAGGGATCTCTTTGCTTCCTTCTGCCCCATTGGATCAGCCATCTCCTATATCCTCGGTGACATCTCCCCCTCTGCCACGCATCCTCTATCATTGTGGACTGAAGCCCTTCGAATCTTTGAGTGGAGCTAGGCTCTCCACCCTTCCCTTGCTTCTACCATGTGCTGCCACAGAGGTAACAAACACAACTAAGACAGCACTTGGTTGCAGTGAAGCTTTGTGAGTTATCTGCATCTCCATTTGGTCTCTACTGTCAACCTCGGATAATTCTTAAACATTGTAGTCTTAATGTTTGTTTTTTTTTTTTCCTGCTGGTTTCTTCATTTTTTTTCTCCTTCTGGTATTCTAATTATGCCCAGATTCTACATTTTAAAATTATCCCCTCTGTGTTCTTTTTTTTATTAGCTTCCCTCTTTTAATTATGTTTTGGGAAATTTCTATTAATAGGTGTTATGACTTGAATAGGAAATGTCCCCCACAGGCTTGTGCATTTGGACACTTGGTACCCAGCTGATGGCGATATTTTGGGAAGTTTTGGGACCTTTGGGAGTGTGGCTTAACAAGCCAGCTCCCCATGGGGGATGGGCCTTTTAGGTGATGCCCACTGCTAGTTTTGACAGATTTGATCTTTGGGCTTTCTGCCCTGTCAAGAAGTCTGCCATGGACAGCCACCCAAGCCATCATGCCTTCTCCACCATGATCCACTGAGCCCGAGGAAATCCTTCCTCCCCTTAGTTGTTACTGTCAGGGATTCTGCCATAGTGATCAGAAAATTAACTACTACACTTGCAAAATTACTGATTCCTTTCTCCATTTTATCTGCTTTAGCGATGAAATCATCAAAGATATTTTAAGCAATATATTTTTAAGTCATTTATCATTTTCTTAGCATGTCTGTATTATACACTTGCTATTATATCTCACCCACTTTTTCCACCAATGCTGTTGACCTCTGGCTCTGACACTTACTTTTCCTCACAGTGTGCCTCTCTACTGTTTGCCATGTCATTCCCTTTGGTTGAATGATGACACAGGGGATCAGTAGCTGGGCAGACAGGATGGAGCTTTTTATTAATTGGCCTTGGCCTTGGGATGTACTTGATGCTTGCATTCTCTTTAGAAGCCAGTAAGTTGTTCCTTGTTCCTTAATTTGACTCTTGTTTTTTCTCTTTCCAGAACATTTTTGCTCGAGGAGTCTAGATCTTCCAGCTCTTTCAACAGCACCTCATTTCAGCAAGATGGAGCAGTGTTGGTGAACTGGAAAAGATTTGAATCTCATGACTAAGTCCCAGGGTTCGAATCTGTCCACATCCTTGGGCTGTGACCTTCATGCTATTTTCCCCCTTTAAATGAGGCAGAAAGGTTAGGCGGTTATAGCTTGGGAGTTATCTTCCCTGTGTCTCTTCAAAAAAGCTCATATAAAGTTTGTTTAATTTTATTTTACTTTGGAGAGGAAGCTGTTACAAGGAACACTCTGTGATTATTGAGCAATATTTTCTTTATCTCAGAACCACGAGGGGATCTTTCTTGAATTTTTGCTGTGAGAACATCATGAGTGCTGGTGACAGTACATCTCTCCTTCAACTCCCAGGACATCAGTCGTCCCTTTTAGATCACACTCATCACTCACTTTTTCAGCTTGCCACTGAATATCCCCCCATCTTTGGCTGCAGTGAGCTCTGGGCAGCAGACTTCAGCTATGACTCTGCAGTCCATTTCTCCAGAGTAATTGGCTCTTGAAACTTGTTCTTCTGATACAAGAGGACTCACTGGTGTTTAATGCATTCTTATTGTAAGACAGATCATGAAACATAAACTCTTTCTACATAGGAGCTCCTCTCTCTCTCTCTCTCTCTCTCTCTCTCTCTCTCTCTCTCTCTCTCTCTCTGTGTGTGTGTATCCATCAGCATGCGTATGGAGGCCAGAGGCCAATGTTGGGTTTCTTCTTCATTGCTCTCTCTCCTGTCTTTTGAGATTGAGTCTTGCACTGAATTTGGAGCTCACCAATCCGGCTGGTGGGCTAAGCAGCTACCTGCAGGAATTTTCCTGACTCTGCCTGCACCCCTAGAGCTGGGATTACAGGCATGTGTGCTTCCACATGTCCAACTCAGCTTTTTGGGAGACGTTTTGGAGACCAAACTCATGACCTTTTGTTTCCTTGGAAAACACTTAATAACTGAGCTGTCTCCCCAGACTAGAATTGAAGTTCATAGTTTCATTTTAGAAAGAAAAAAAATCTATCTATCCCTATCATAAATTCCTTTAGAATTTGTAGGAAAGAGCAAAGAAAGGAAGTTAGGCCTTTTTAAAAAACTTAGAGACAGGATGATGCTATGTAGCTCATGATGGACATGACCTCCACCTCTTTCTTCAACCTCCGGAGTGGGGAGAGGCCAGGTGTGCAGTGTCATGTCCTAGTCCAGTGCTTTCTCTTTCTTTTTAAAACCAAGTGCTAATACACTAAGGGGCAGATTTGCTCTCTCCTGGAATATAAACAGGTCTAGACATTGGTAGGGGAGGATTGATCTTGTGTTTTACTTACAGACGTTTGAGTCAGCTAGGGAGGGCCTGTTCTTCCAATTTAGAAGATACAAAAATGAGACTGTGATTTGGAATTCACTTGTGCTAATTTCTTCCTGTGTTCATTCTCTTCTCTGATTCTTAGAGCAAATGTTCTTCTCAATCATTTACTTTAGTTTCTAACATTTCTCACTAATGATTGGTTCTTTCACGAACCCCTCCCCCTTTTCAAAATTTGAGTGATTTAAGAAATTTAGAATATACATGTAAAGCTTGCCACAAAATTAGCCAAAAATAAGTATGTTCAGATCTTTAAACAATTAAATGCCCTACCCTCATTTTTCCTAAAACAAACAAAACCAAAAATCACCTTTGGGTAAAAACTAAAGATGGAAAATTTCAACCAAAAAAGAATTATTTATAAAATTCAAGTGTCCTCAAATTAAAGTGTATAGTGGAAACTGTTTCACAATTTTAATTATATTGGCCATTCTCTCTAATGTTTATAATGGGTTATAATACCTAAAGTGGATGAGAAAAGCCAAGGACAAAATGTCAAGCCCAGAAACCACATAAAGGCTCTTAATAATTTTGCTAATTTCTGCTCCCCTTCAGGCAGACGTTGTGAAATGTAGACATCATCTGCAGGCGACTGGCTCACCCACACCAGAATCCCCAGTGAGTCCTAGAGAAGTTTCAAGAGGTAAAAAGTTGTTTCCCTCTTCAGTAACTAAAATAAGAAAGCCTCTATTTTCCTTTATAAATTGGAATACAATGTCTTTATTTTGGGATGTGTTGGTGCCACAGGCACAGAGTGGATCTACAGCGTCTGTGTCTGTGTGTGCAGTCTGTAGAAATCAAGCAATTTTGGTGCAAAGGAGAAGCTGGTGTGCAATGAGAAGCCTGCTTTTCTCAGCTGCTCTTCTCCCACAGTTCCGGTTTACCTGGAGCCAGGGGTTAGTGTGCAAGCTCTTATCTGCAAGTAGCTTTGAATTGCAATAGTGATTCATAATCTACAATCAAATCAGCCATTATATTCCAGACACTGACCCGGCCTGATTTGCTGTCCACCATTATCTTTATTATAACATAAGGAGATAGACATGTTCCTCCCTCTGTAAAGGCAGTTGTTAACTTGTCAGCTTTTATCTGCTGCTCTTAATTGATGGGATATCTCTTCTGGTCAAGAGAAAAGGCTCTTGGGAAAGTGAACGAAAGGGCTTTAAAAAGGGAAGGGGCCAGTTCCAAAGGAGAGAGGACTGCCCTATTAAGATCTTTTCAGCTTCACCCTAACCTACTAGCCATGCACATGCAGACTCAGTAACCCTGCAGAGAACCCTTCAGTCACGTGATCACAGCCAGGCCCTCTTTCTGATTGCCCTGGGGCCACTTTAATAAGCTCAGGGTGGAACTGGATCACTGAGTATTAGAGCATTAATTACTGCTGCTGTGACATTTGGCTGGCTTCCGGGGAACTAGGGCATGGCTGTTGCCCCTTCAGCAAAGAAGACAAGATCTCAAAGTTCTGGACCAGAAAGTAAGTCAAGATTTTTGCATTATCTTCCGTCTTCCTACCTCCTGATACCTGTAAATCCATACAGTTCATCTGAGTTTGTGGGTAATATTCTGGGGAGACAAGAAAAAACTAGTCCACTTTTCCAAACTTCAGGAAGACTGGATGGGTTATCAAAGAGGTCATTTCCTCTCCTTTATCTGTGGGAATGTTGGATTTCTCAATTGCCGTCCATCTGTAAGCATGAAGGCTGTTGCTGCTATCCGTCACTGGAAGACAATGGTGTAGCTGGGCTTACCCCACCCTATGTCCAGTATCAGTCGACAATATAATGTGGATATCATCCTAAACATATCAACTCTATGGACACAACAGCCCTAGTGTTCCTTAGCCACCACTGTTTGAGATGGGCATCGTACTCCTGCCTCCACACTTCTCCATGTAGCTGCTCTCAGCATGTGGAAATGGGGACTTTAACCAGAGTAAGTTATAACACAGAGAGTTAAGCCAAGATGACAATAATGAAACTATAAACACTGACTAGGGAGACGGTGCCTGCTAGAAGTGACTCTAAAACTTAGCATTAAGCTCTCTGAGGATCAAAAAGGAAAACAAAGGAAAAAAAAACCATCAGTACATGCACAGATGTATACACACATCTGGAATAGTGACAACATTTTATGCTTTAGTTTTCTAAACCAAAGAAATTATAAAATGATTTCTATTGGGCTATAGCTGATAATATAGGAGAGTAAAGAGAGTATGTTTAAACAATAATTCGGAAGATATTTTGTGCTTACTAGAAACAACTTAGGACAAATTCCCCTTCAGCAGAACTTTATTAGAGAGTCACAGCATCATGCCATAGACAGCCATGATGACAATACCTTGCCTTTATATGTTTTCTTGTGTGTGTGTGTGTGTGTGTGTGTGTGTGTGTGTGTGTGTGTGTGTGTGTGCATTGTTGGGGCATGGGGAGTGCTCCATGCCCCTATTTCCAGGGAGCCCAAAGTCAGGAAGGCAGTAGCCCAGTCATGTTGTTGATCTGGGCCTCAGGGAGCTGAACTTGACTCCAGTTGCATGAGTCAGGGAGGAGGGTGCAAGGCCCCAGCTGCTCACCTGCTTGTCAGAGCTCTCTCTGCAAAGGGACATGCTGCCAGGAGGGAGAGGTCCACGTTTGAGGAGCAAAATAGAAGCAGCCACAGGATCTGTGATCTAACAATGACAGACTATGGTTTTGCTGATGGAGTTTGGTACATTATCTGCAAAAAGTATCTGCCCCAGACATAGAAGACTGGGAGAAGGAGAAAACAGCCTGGAGTGGCAATCCCATTCCTCACACAGGATCCTGTTTCTGGGGAAACTCCCTGTGGGTCTTTGATTAAACACTGCTTCCCTCTCCTTTCTCTTAGGTGCTCTTCAATGTAGACTTAGTTCACGTCTCCTAACACCTTAGAAAGTTTCTAGATAATAAGCACATGCACAGCAAATAGATATGCATATATCTGTTGGTTTATTTGATAGAATAGCCACAGGTTTACAAAGTAAACCAGGGTCTGGTCTAAGATAGCACATATACGTAAGGGGGAGAGTGTTGGGTGGGTATACAGCAGCAGCACCTTTCTCACAGGTCTTAGCCTGCTGTCCTCCTGTAATGAAATACCCGAGACTAGACTGCTTACACAACAGAAATGTATCGTCTCATAGTTCCAGGAATTGGAATAGCCAAGATGTCGCTTCTTGCAGGGTTCTAGGGAGGCTTTCTTTTGATCCTGTAGGAAGGATTCCCCAGTGACTCTGGCAAGGGCAGTCAGTCATCCAGTCTCATTAGGACTCTACCTTACAGTCTTTTCAATCGTAATTGCTTTGTTATTGAACCTATCACCGGGAATAACGGCTCTGAAGTTCAGATCTTAACCTGTGACTGGGGAGGGCACAATGCAGGCAACAACACCTAGGAGCACCAAAAATAACTGATTCAGGGTGTTCTGGAAGTTGAGCAGATGAAAAAACAACCAGTCCTAGAGCACTTCTCCAGTAAGGCAGGGGGGATGATAATGCATGAATAACAATGAGGAGTTTCTAGAATACATTTTAAAACTGAGTTCTAATTGCTAAACTCCTCATAGATTCTTAACTCCAAGTCTTTTCAATCCAGGTATGCACTACATACTTAGATACAATTGTCTCAGTGAAATAACATGTTTATGAAGGTGAATACGCAATTTTATTTTCTCATGCTCAGTGTTGGTATCCTTCAATGGTTAGCATATTTTGCAATTTAGAAAAATGTTCTGAAAATTAAATGGGGCCATAAAGTCAAAACAGGAAAAGTTACCAGGGCCAAGTAGAAATATTTGAAAGTTAAGAAAAGCAATAGAAAAGATGAAAAACAATCCTGATTTTTTCTGCCAATTAGCATAATTTGCCCAAAGTTGTTGGCCATCGCATCTAACTCTTTGGTGAGCTCCGTTACTTAGCAAGAGAGATTCCCATTTCCTTCTTTTTTGACACTTTGGTTTTCCATTCGGCTCAGCTGTAATGTTCTTCTATTTTTGACTATTTATCTCCTAAAATCAGCACTTTTCCTCCACCAGGCCTTCTTCCACAGAAAAGTTTTTCACACCAGCACTGCACCCCTGAGCCATTGCTTCTCAAATTTGCATTTGTAACTCTCAGTTCTTCGTCTAGGGCTGCTGTTCCACAAGCCACTGCTCGCCGGTCCTTCTTCTTGGCTTCCTCATAGACATCTAAATATAACCGGTTCCGGACTTCATTCTCAAGTCCAGTGCGAAGTACTGGTGGTTGAAATCCACACACACAGAGTCACGTCTGGTCTCTCCATGTCAACTCTACTAACCAATGTCACCTCTGCTACTGTTTGTGAGTGTGTGCTTTGGCCTGCTGGGTGGTCCTGACCTTTCTCCTGTGCAGACCTTAGGACCCAGACTTTCTTGGTTACACAGTGAGATGAGTGCTGACTGATGTCCAAGTCATAGTACATTGGAAAGACTCCCATTTTAGAGCAGAAAACAATGATCCCATGTCCAAGATGCTTTTATCCACTGTGTAAGTTGTTTTCTTCCTAAACTCTGAGTGGGAGAGACACTAATACTTGGGTGATGGTTGTCATATTTCCCTTGCTATATTGGCAACATATGGCTTATTATTTGGTTTATAGGAGCTGACTGCTTAGAGTTCACCTTAGTCTTAGAAAAGACCCTGGAGACCATGGACTTTGGATTGGCAGTATTGAGACTATTAAAACAATGGGATGCTTGAAATCAGATTTAAAGCATTTACTTTATGAAGTGGCCATGAACCCATGGAGGTGAGTGACAGAATGCTGGGGTCCGAATGTGAGTTGCCTTCCAGTGTTTGGATTCATGGCCTCCAGTTGGTGGTGGCATTTTTGGAAGCCATGGGGCCAGGATAGCTGAAGTAGGTCACTGGGAACAGGCCTTCCTTGAGGATTATACCTACTTCTTGCTCCAGCCCAAGATCTCAGCTTCCTGGTTTGCTGTAATGTGAGCAGTAAACATGTGGTCACCGCTATAGATGAAGACTTCCATGACGTGCCTGCCATGCTGGGCTGTGCCCTCTGAAACAATGCCCCACAATAAGCCGCTCCTACCTCTCGTTGTTCTTTTCAGAAATTCTGACACAGTGGCAGAAAGTAATGAGAAGCAAATGTTTCATACCAAATGTGGACTCGATTTTCATCTCACCCGCCTGCCATATCCAAAGGGGGAAGCTGAGTCTCCACACAAGATAAATAATGTTAAGGTCCCACAGCTCATCATCAGAGAAGCCTCCTCTTGAAGCAGATGGGAACAAATACAGAGACCCACAGCCAGACAATATGCAGAGAGTGAGAGACCTCAGAACACTCAGTCCTAAATGGGATGTCTCCATCAAATCCTTCCCCTCTGGGCTCAAGGAAAACCTGCAGAAGAGGAGGCAGAAAGAGTGTAAGAGCCAGAGGGAATGGAAGACACCATCAAAACATGACCCTATAAATCAACGTGATCAAAGTACATCTGAACTCACAGAGACTGAGGCAGAATGCACAAGGCCTGCATAAGTCTGCACCAGATGGGGTCCTAGAGCTGAAAGGAGAAGTTGGACACATGTTCCATCCCTAACCCAGAAGCTACCTCCAATTGATAACCACTTGAGAATGAAAATTTAATTTTCTCCAAGGGAGTCTCATCAGGGAAACAACTACTTTTAAGGGTAGGCTTCATGCTCAGCAGTAGACGGCCAACAGAAAATGAGCTCAATGGTATCTTTGGAGGTTCTTTGTCTCATAAAGTCAGGCTAGGACCTTTTACTTTTAATTTGATCTTATTTTTTTATCTTTATTACATAACTATATGTGTATCTAGCTATATATTTTTTCTCTTTTTATCCTATGGAACTTTTGTATATATATATTGTGACTTCCAGCTTAGTGTTTCTATGTGATTCCTGAGTGTGCGAACAAGTGGGTCTCTGTATCAGTTTCTTGTGCTTTTTTGGGGGGGGGGCTCTTTTCCTTCTGTTTGTTTTGTCCTAGTCCAATATGTTAGTTTTTATTGTATCTTATTCTGTTATTATTTCTGATAAACCTGTTTGTTTTCTAATGAGAGACAGAAAGGAGGGTGGATCCAGATGGGAGGGAAGGTGGGGGAAAACAGGAAGGGGTAGAGGAAGAGGAACCATAATCAGGATACATTATATATAAGAAAAAAAATCTACTTTCAATCAAAGGGAAAAAGATTCCATGGCCTCCTGGCATTTCCGACTTTCTTTTATATTAGATGCACATTCATTAGATGTACACATGTGTATCCCTTGCAAAGAGTTGCTCCCTGTATTTTCTGGGAATCAATTCCAAAGCAGCTCATTTCCAAAGGATAGTAATATTTGTGGTTACCCAAGTCCTATATATAAAATAGTTGTTTATATGTGACCTACACACCTCCAGCATACACTAAACCATCTCTCAACTGTTGGTCATGCTAGTTCAGTGTAATGTTATATGAACAAGCTGTTCAGATTATGTTGACAAGAAAACATCTATAGCAATTCAGTGCAGATACAACTATGTTCCCCCCCGAGCCCCGAATAGTTTTAGTTCAGTGTTGTCTGTAAATACAGACTATAGACGCAGAAGACAATTGACAGTTCTTTTTCCCTCTGCCACTCCCCCAAGACAACTCCTATGTGCCCCTCCCTTTACACATTCTTCCTCTCTCCCCCTTTATCTCTCAGCCACAACATCCACTTTCCTTTGTTCCCACAATTTCTCTTCTACTTCATGTCATAGAAATATATATACTCCAATATAAGAAAATGAGAGAAAACATGTGCCATTTGTCTTTCTGTCATTGTCTTAAATCATTTAATATGATTATCTCCCAGTGCATTCATTTTTATAAAAACTATGTAAGTTCTTTATAGCTAAAAAAAAAAATGCCATTCTGTAAACACGACACATTTTTTTTGTCTGTCCCTTGGTTGATGGACACCTATGTGGGTTGCATTATTTGTATGTAAAGAATAGCATTGATAAAAAAAACACTTTTATGCAAGTATCTTTGTGATATACTGAGTTGGATTCCTTTGTGTAAGCACCCATGATTGGTACTGCACACTCATGAGTTAAATCTATTTTTACTGTTCTAGGAAACTCCACACTAATTTCAGTAGTGGTTGGAGCTGTCTCTGTTGCTGCTAGCAATGTTTAGGGTTCCCTTTTCTCTACATCCTCACAAGTATTTGTAGCTATTTGTTTCCTTGGTGATTGCCATTCCCAAAGGGAAGAGATGGAGTCTCAATGCTGTTTTAACTTACATTTTTCTGAAGGCTACTGATGCTGGACATTCTTTTACATGATTATTGGACATTTGTCCTTCATCTTTTGGGGGCTGTCTGCTCATTGCATCAGTCCACTCACTGACTGACGGTTTTACTTTCCTGATATTTATTTTTTTGTGCCCTTTGTATATTCCGGATACTAATCCTCTGTTGGATATATAGCTAGCAAAGATTGACTCCCATTCTGTAGGGCTTCTCTTTACTTGGTTCTTTCTTTTGCCATGCAGAAATTTTCAGCTTTATAAAATCCAACGTTAATTTTTGGCATTATTTCCTGAGTCTTTTCCAGAAACCCTTTGTCTGCCTATGTCTTGAGGTATTTTCCTCTAGGAATGTCAGTTTCAGTTCTTACATTAAGATTAGATGACTGTAGTTTTGTGGGTTATGCAGGATTCTCTCTTTTGTGGCAGTGCTTTGCTGTTTTGTTACTTTGGATCCATAATGTAACTTGAAATCAGGTATGGTGATACCTCTAGCAATGTTCTTTTTGCTCCACATTGACTTTATTATCTTGGGTCTTTTGTACTTCCATATGATTTCTTTATATTTCGGTGATAAATTATGTTGTAATTTTGGTGAGAATTCCATTGAACCTGTAGATTGCATTTGGTAGCATAAGCATTTTTACAATAGTAATTCTTTTAACACACCACCATAGGAAGCTTTCCCATCTTGCAGCATCTAGAATTTCTTTCTTCAATATTTAAAATATTTCACTGTACTGTTCTTTCATTTCCTTGGTAGGGTTCTTCCAAGGTATTTTATTTTGTTTTTGAGGTAATCGTGAATGGGATTATTTCCATGAATTGTTTCTTAGCATATTTGTTATTGGTATGTAGAAAGGCTACTAAGTATTGTGTGTTAATTTTGTATCCTGCCACTTGGCTGAAGGCATTTATGTGATCTAAGAGGATTCTGGTGGAATTCTTGGGCTCCTTTATATAAAAGAATCACTTCATCTAGAAATAACAGTAATCTGACAACTTCTTTTTATATTTATAGCCTACGTATTTTCTTCTCTTGTGTTGAGTTCTATTTAAGACTTCAAGTGCCATCCCGATTTCAATAGAGACACATAGTATGAATTTCACTGTTACATCTATTTTCAATTTCACCTTTAATTTTTCTCCTATTTGTCTCTGTGAGTTTCTCTAAGGCTTTGCCAATCTTGTTTACCTTTTCATAAAAGCAATACTTCCAGTGATGCTCTATGTTTTTTCCCCATTTCATTAACTTTTTTACTAATTCCAATTATTTCTTTCTGTCTCTAATTTGGGCTTGGCCTTTTTTAATGTTTCCAAGGCTCCAAGTAACATCATTAAGTTGTTTGCTTGATATCTTTTCTAATTTTCAATCTAGGCACCGGTGACTATAAAATTCCCTTTTAGGATTGTTTTTAACATATCTTATAGATTTTGGTATGCTGTGTTTTCATTTTTGTTTAATTCTAAACATATTCTGATTTTGTTTGTGATTATTTTGGTAAACAATAGATTATTCAGCAGTATGATGTCCATTCTCTATGAATATGTGTATGTTCTGTAGTTTATCTTCCTGTTGATTTCTGATTTTATTCCACTGTGCCTAAACAGACTACTAGAAGTTATTTCAATTTTCCTTGTTAAGAGCTCTTCTGTACACTGTTATGTCATTTGCTTTAGAGATGAGCTTCTAAGAATGTGTATTTTTCAGATTCTACAGATGTCTATTAGGTCCATTTGATCTGTGATGCCATTTTACTCAAATATTTGTTCTTGTTAGAATGGCATGACTTTTAGTAAGAATGGGGATATTGCGGTCACCACTATTATTGTGTTAGTGTTAATCTATGTCTTTAAACCCAGTGGTATTTGTTTTATAAATTGGGTGGACACGTGTTCAACATGTACAAGTTTAAAGCCACCATGTTCTCTTGACACATTCTTCAGTCGGTTTGTTTTGGTGTTATTTATCTCTTCTAACTAATTTTTGGTTCCAAGTGTACTTTTTCAGAGATTAGAACAGCTATATCCCTTCTTGCCTCACTCCATCTGCTCTGAATACCTTTGTCCATGGTTTCACCTTCAAGTTGTATCTGTCTTTGACAGTAAGGTGCTTTTCTTGGAGGCTGCAAACAAATGGGTCCTGTTTCTAATCTAATCTGCCACTCTATGTATTTTGATT